ACTGGACTCTTCTCAGAGGTGGCAGGTGACAGAACAAGGATCAATGGTCTCAAATTGAAGCAAGGGAAGTTTAGGTTAGACAGTAGGAAAAATGTTCTTACTAGGAGGGTGGTGAAACACTGGAATGGGTTACCTAGAGAGGTGATGGAATCTCCATCCTTGGAGAATTTTACAGTCTGGCTTGATAAAGCCCTAGCTGGAATGATCTAGTGGGGGATGGTCCCGCTTTGAGCAGGAGACTGGACTAGATGACCTCCTGAGTTCCCTTCCAACCCTAATTTTCTATCATTTTATGATTTATTAACATTTTAAAAGGTGACAGAAGTCCCTTTTAATATTCCAAGTAACAAGTAAATCCATTGTTACAGAGGCAAAAATTAGGACTGTGGTTGCTGATTCGATTTCAAGGAGATTCGATTAGATTTGGAGGAAATTTAGTCCAATTTGGTGGCTATATCTCTGAATCTGAATAGAATCAGGAGATCCATTAATCTTTCCAAATCAAATCAGAAGCCTTATGGTTCATGAACGCTGAGATGGTGGGGCAGATGGAGTGTCCCACAGAAGCATGTGTGGGGTGGGGGGGCATCCCCAGTGTGCTTGGCGGCAGACCAAGAAGTTGACAAAAAGTACTTCCGGTTCACTTCCAGGTCCACTGCAGAGCATGTGGGGGACCCCCCTGCCCCCCAGCTTGGTGACTGGTGCCTCCTGGGTCTTGAGGATACCCAGAGTCCCCCTGTGGCCAATCACTGAGCTGGGGGGGATGTGGGGGGGTGGTCCCCCACATGCTTGGCAGCAGACCCAGAAGTGGACCAGAACTAGTTCTGGTCCACTTTCAGTTCTACCACTGAGTGCACAGGGAACCAGCAACACACCTATAGGCTGGGGAACACCCTTCTTGTCAACACAGTGGCAGAAAGGGATTTTGGAGTCATTGTTGACTCCAGGATGAACATGAGCCACCAATGCAAGGAAGTGGTCATTAAGGCTAACTACACCTTGTCGTGCACCTGCAGATGCATCACAAGCAGGTCCAGGGAGGTGATCCTTCCCCTCTATGCGACACTGGTCAGGCCACAGTTGGAGTACTGTGTCCAGTTCTGGGTGCTGCACTTCAAGAGGGATGTGGCTAGCGCTGAGAGGGTTCAGAGGAGGGGCCCTCACATGGTCAAGGGGCAGCGGGGCAGGCCCCACAAAGAGAGGCTAACGGACCTGAACCAATTCAGCCTCCACAAGAGAAGACTGAGAGAGGGGATCTGGTGGCCATCTACAAACTCACCAGGGAGGGACCAGCAGGAA